AGGCGAGGGCCTTTCCTCAGCAGGAGCTATGGTACCTGCTCATGTCCTGGGGCAGCTCCCATGCCCGAAGCCCCCCTCATCACTCCCACCTCCAGCCTCTTTGGGGTGGCCCAGGGTCTTTACTGCAAACTGGGAAAGATGATGGGCATCCAGTGGGGTTTTCTGATTTCCCACCCGGGATGGACTCCACGTCCTCTTCTAGAACTGAAGGTGAGACATCTTCCTTCCTAAAGCTGCTTTGCTGCACCTGCAGGAGGGTGGGGATTGTGGCATGCCTCTGAGTGCCCTTGCTCTCCTGGTCACATCAGGCATGTGGCATCCATAGAGTCCAGTGGCTTGGAGAAAGGGGAATGGGTTCCTGTTGCTGCTACGTTGGAGAAACAGAGTTCATGTTCTGGGAAACAGCAATTTCAGAAGCTGACACTCGCTTCTGAGATGAGCAGATGGAACCAGCCCAGCTGTAATCACTGGTGCTGCTCCACCAAGGTCCTGCCATCGATGATGACAAGAGTCCATCCCCAGAGCTTGGCTGATCTTGGGCTTTTCAACATCTCCCAGCGCAGCACCTGCTCATTCCCTTCCCCTGTTGGGGGAAGCCTCTCTGCTGGCTCTGTGTGGGGCAGGCTAAGTTAATTCTCTTTGTAAGAGTCCTCCCAGTGCTTCTTTGGGAGGTCCCTCAGGTAGAGCAGGTTGCTGCTTGCACCTCCACAGCTTCATTTCCTCCCTTGTGTTCTCCTATGCTCCTCTCCATGGCAGGGGCTGTCCCTGCAGACATCCCCATCAGCAAACAGTTGCGTGCCTGTGAGGTGATAAGCTGAGGGCGATCAACTCTGGGACACCACTTGGACTTCAGCCCTGCCACTGTCCTGGGCTCTCCTGTGCAGAGCAGGTGCTGCTGCAGCCCTGACCCTTCAAATGGAGGGACATGGGTCATTCCTGGTATGGGGGGGGGAAGCAGAAACCAGCTGCCAAAGGGACTTGCCAGTGCAGTGGGTCAGTGGCAGAGATGGGAGCAGCATCAGCTCTCAAACTGTAGAGTTCTCATTATGTGTCTCCCTCTGCCAGTGCAAGGCTGGTCAATACACAGGTATCAGGCCCCCTGAGCCCCCTGCCCAGGCTCTGGTTTCTCTGTGCTTCCACTTCCCAGTGCTGGTGGCTGTGGCTCAGGAGCTCGTGGCTCTGTGCTGCTGGTGTTGCAAACATTTGCTGGGAGCTGTGTCATGAGTAAGCACTCAGTGTGTCATGAGAGCAAACCTCCCTATCCTTGAGCTGCTACCCACATTATACTCTTAGTGTATTCTAGTGGCGTGACCAAATTCTAGTGGGTTACTTCACCACCTTTTAGCTGCCAGAAAAAAATCCCGTCTGTTGTTTCAGCCCTTTGGAAGCATTTCCTTGTGCTCTGGCACAAACCAGCAAATCCCAGCACTTCAGGGAGCTTAGCAGAGGATCCAGTGAGAAGGTGACAGGGAGGGGAAGCAGCAGCTCTGGGGAGTTTGGGAGCGCTGAGGAGAGCAGATCTCCTCATCCTCCTTAGAGACACTCCCTTCAGAGCTGGGAGAGAGCCCCAGGTCTCCAAGCAGCAGGACTTGCCACACTCTGCTCCATGCCCTGGGCTTGTCTGGGGGCCACAGAGCCCCCTCGGCCCTGCCACCTCCCTGGCTGCCCCACT